TCACTTGAATTGAGCATTTGCACACCCGCCAGCTTTCTTGAGTGAATGAAAATGAAAACATATATTTTATGCTATGTTGCAAGTTTAGGAGAAAGGCACCTCTACAAAAATCCAAACGAAGTACAAGTTGGAAGCGACGCGAATGACCCAAAATAAGCTCTAGAATGTTACCAGCAATGAAAATAAATAATAGTTTAGAAGCTTACCTACCTACTTTAATTGAAATTTTATTGTGACTACAACATTGAAATGGATACATAATGTGAACTAAGAGTTACTATTGAAACATACATTTAACATTATTTTGTTCTTAATAAAATTACCATTAGTTATAACACAATAATAGTCCGAGAAAATGACAAAGTAAGTTTTTAACTTGTCCTTGACCCACATTTAAGACAGATAATAAACATCTCGTGACTGATAGTACACGCAAATGATACAGGAAATTAAAATTATCGCTTTATTCAAAAATTGTTTCAAAATTATCTAATATATTCATAATAGTAAGCTGTATAAGTAATAAGAAATAAAAACAAGTTTCGAAAACCGCAGCCATCTACTGGCATTTCGTGGAACTGTTTCAAGAACTGAACGCATCGTTCATTTGACGACATTATTGGCATAGTTCCAAACGGCGGCGCTGTAGTCTAAGTAAACTGGAATCACCTTAATTGTTATGATTGTTAATATTATTATATTGGTGTGTACAACCAACACCATTTGACTTACAATTGGAAAAGTGCACCTGTCCTTCCTTAGGATCGTTGTCAATACTCGTTGTCCAACTGTTNGTAATTTATTTTGGTAATTCTGAATTTAAACAAACATTTTGATGAGAAGAATTCATTTTTACTTTGCAAATTTGTAAATACAGGCTCTGTAGCAATGTACGGACATATAATAATATGAACAGCAACAGAAACAATAATAGCATCTACAAATATATATGTACTACGTGGTACTACATTTACTAAAATTAATACAACATTTATTAATTAAATTAATGAAATTGTGGTTTTAAAGTTTTAGGGGTGTATAAAAAATGGGGGGCGCTGAAAAATAATTGATTTTCAAAGGGGGCGGTAAAAGAAATAAGTTTGATAATCACTGTTCTAAGACTAATTTTACTGTCGCTTGAATGTTTTGTGGTTCCCGTTAAATCTCGTATCCTGTGATATTTAGCCATCAACAGAAAAAAGGGATTTTAAAAATATATTTATGAATTCAGCAGCTATAAGATTCGTGTAGTTAAAAAAAATTAATTAGGTACTTTAAAATATAATTAGTTTAAAAATTTAATTTAGTCGCTTCTTCTTCTTCTGAAATACGTACTCAACAAATGTTTATGATTGACTTACACGGTGAAGGAATAACATCGTGTAATAAAAATCAAACCCGCAAAATTATAATTTGCGTAATTACTGGTGGTAGGACCTCTTGTGAGTCCGCGCGGGTAGGTACCATCACCCTGCCTATTTCTGTTGTGAAGCAGTAATGCGTTTTGGTTTGAAGGGTAGGGCAGCCGTTGTAACTATATTTGATACCTTAGAACTTATATCTCAAGATGGGTGGCGCATTTACGTTGTAGATGTCTATGGGCTCCAATAACCACTCCAGTAACCACCAGGTGGACTGTGAGCTCGTCCACCCATAGAAGCATTAAAAAAAACATGATAATACTTTTTGATTGCTTGCATTTACATACTTTGTGATAGTGTCATTTGTATAATTTAACTTGAAAAAAAAGTGGATGAAATTACTTGTTTTTTTTTTTCTATCTAATCGCTAGTAGGAATATTCCAGCTACGCTCGGACTGGAGCTTGTACTAAATTTACAGATAATAGTATGTTAATTTATTGTGTAAGTAAATTACAAAAAGATTAAAATTTCATTATTTGTGTTCTGTCTTATAATAATAATTCATTGATGCTATTACTGTGCCGAGTACTACGAAACGGACTTGTTTTTGTAAGATTTAGATCAAATCATAAAAGTAGTTTAAATTATGTCTACGACTCTTTTTTTTTTTTATTGCCTTTGTGGGCAGACGAGCTTACGGCCCACCTGATGGTGAGTGGTTACCGTCGCCCATGGACTTCAGCAATGCCAGGGGTAGAGCCAAGCCGCTGCCTATCGCTTAATACTCTCCACAAGCCTCTTTTAAAGAAGGACATGTCATAGCGCGAAAAGATTAGTTTAAATGCAGTTTTCATTATAAATCGACATCTTGAGGTGATTGTGGCCGAATTTCGATCATTGGGCGAACACTTGTAGATTACATTTAAAAAAAAAAGGTGTTGGTCTTAATTTGATTAATGCTTTTCTTACGTGCGGGGGTGCTCACCAATATGTTTACGTTTCATTCGATCCGCCATCGTTCATCACGGAAACTTGTCAAGAGCATTAAAGCAATGATATCTGGAAAATATCGCGAAACATTTATCCACTAGTAGGTATATTTTATCCTAAGCGAATTAGACTCAAACGAAGCTACTAGGAGCTATTTGTCGTAGCCGTGCTGGTTTTATTCCATACAGCTTCACGAGATCTGTACGTCAAGAAAATCTATCGAATTCGTAATGTAAATGTATCGAGTCCTCGAGCTGTCGAGCCCTTCGTCGCAAGCGGTGGGTTCGGCGAGGACGGTGACCGGAAAAGCGTTAAACGTTAATTTCATAGTTAAATAATCAAATATATCCTATTGCGTTACGTTGAGTAGGTTCGTTGATTTTGAAATATTTCATTTTCTTATTTGTCGGAAATTTAATATCCAGGACTGTCGTTGGAGCCAGCATTACAGCAGGTGTAATATAATGATATGTGTATCTATTGGATAGTAATAACAATTAATACATATATAGTATGTTTCGGTTCCGCTTCTCAAATAGAAAATACGCAACCTCTATACCTATATAACATGATCAAATTGTGGCATGTCTGTCTACCCAATAAGTAAGATCGATTCAAGAGCGACTAGAGGTATAAAGTTAATATACATAAGTACTTAAGGAAGTTGTTAAAAAATCTAGCTTCTACATAAAGGATACTGGTATATGCCCGCCACTTATTCTCACCGTTGCGCTATGAATCTTTTATAGCTAGATTCCGATAGATCAGCGACGACCGCGTGAAAAGGCTCTGAACGAAGAGGTTTTATTTTTTAAGAAAGTTAATTTATCTTTAATTCCGCAATGAACTATATCAGAAGTTAACAGGAGACGTATGAATTTAGTTTCCGACTTCGTTCACAATCTTCCAATATAATGACGATGAGAGCTAATGTGACGCTTAGCTTAAAATTGAGAACAAATAGAACATAGATAGTCGAAAAAAACTCAACTACGATGCCCCACAGACTATTGATAATTTTAGATTATGTACGAGCTGCCTTGCTTTTATGATCCCGGTAATTTCTAAGGAATCTGAATGCACGGCAGTTTCCGACAAATACCTCAAAATCTGAATATAGACAACATCTGATTTGACTCCTAAAGAATGTAACTTTTCAATGAGCTTATTTTGCGTTCTCAGAGTTAGTTTCAGACTAATTAAATAGAAAAAAAAAGTAATAGTGAAATAAAGGACTTTGAATAAACATTTCATATATTGTCTAAATTAATTAATACCACTATCACCGGCCGATCGCCATTCATATTCTATTTCTATCTACCATGTAATCGCGTATAGAATCGGTAGTAAAGCCGTCGTTCCATAACAAACCATAAATAGCAATTGAAATTTTAAAGCAAAGCGAAACGAAACAATGTTTTAACTTTCAAGTATTGTTTCGAGGAATCGTGAACTCCCGTCGTCGCTTCGTTACAAAAATCAATAGCATTAGTAAGTTAGTACAAACGAATTATACGAATCTCTTTGTGTGCGTCACGAAGCTTTCGGTGTGCGGAAAACAAAAAAAAAACCACGAGCGAAATTCTTGTAATAAAAATCAATCGGAGCGGAGAGAGAGAAGGCGCCGGGTGCGGGGCGCCGACTGGTCGCCTGCGTCCGGGAGGACCTCCCTCTACCTCCTTTTGCATAACTACACTTGCTATATTGCATCCGTTCATTGGAACTTTGACGAAGTTTCCCTTCTTTGTGTCATATTATTTTGTGCTTTTAATTCAATTATTTCATTATTTGTTAACAATAAACGGATTGGTGTTAGGTTTTTTCAATGGAATTGTAAATAAACAAGGACAGATATGCTATTGAAACGTCTGCGGCACAGTCGTACCGGTCGTGTTCGAGAGGGACGCTTCCGAGCGACCGCGCGGCCGGCTCCCAGCAAAAAGGCGTTTGTTTTTATTTCTTTGGCGCGGAAAAAATCAGCACGCGCCCGCCCTGCACCTCCTAAACATGCGCCACGCAGCGACGCAGACTCGACCGGGTGTGTGCCGAATTCACTTTCATTTGCGACATTTCATCGTTTCTCGAAGGTCATCTTGCAGTTGCGGGCAAAGTTAAAAGCTCGGCGTGCATGTGTGACGCGAGCGAGTGCTTTCGGCGGCCACCGCTGACCGACTAGGTGAGTTGAATGAATTTCGCGCCCTCGTCTACGCGGATTTCGTTTTCCCTCACGTTTATCGGCACCCCGTTTTACACTATCCTTCGTCTTGTCGTCAAGACGGTGTATCCCGCGATTATTTGAGAACGCGCGCCAATTCATACACCGGTTCAGTTACGTGAAAAACAATGGTTTAAATCACTCATTCTTTACCGAAACAAGAGTTATTCGTTTGTTACAATAAACAAATACTCGTTCCCTAAGTTAATATAAGATACCAAAAAGTACAGTTCTTTACAGTTGTACAGTTAAAACTTTAAAGTTTCACGGTTTAAAATTGTGTTTTCTTCTTTTTTCTTTATATAGTTTAAACTAAGCTGCGGTTATGGAATTACTAGTTTTATTTTAAATCAGAATGATTGTAATACATAAAAGTTTGTCATTGTTTGTTTAAAATGATTTTTTTAATCAACTATAATCGTTTACTAGGAAATGCCGAGCCACAATCTAGCTTTAGTGAAAAATGAATTACAATTGGTGCAACAAGACGGTGACTCATTTTATTCCCAATGTTACGTACCCAGTCAAGTAAGTGATCTGTTATCAAATATTCACAGTACTTGAATTAGAGTTTCCACTGGTGGTAGTGCGGTGGTAGACATGGGCCTTAGACGGGAGATACCATCACCGACCTTCAGCTATATTGCAGACTTTTGACTTCATGTGACTGGATCGGTGGTCCATAGGCTCCAGCAACCACATAACATCAGATAGGCTGTGAGATTATTGACCCATCTATGCAATAAACAATATTATAGTAAATGTATTGTTAATGAAAATACCATTTGAATACTTACCAATTTTAATCATAAGATTTATTATAAAATGTTTGGTTAGAACAGTGAACGAGCTCACGGCCCACCTGGTGTTAAGTGGTTGACTAAGCCCATAAATACCTATCAAAAAATGAATGCCGCTACATGAGGTTCAAATTTCCATTGTAAAGTATAACAGTTGTTTCATCACTGCAAATCTGAACGCACGAAAGCTTCGTAACAGAAATATATAGGTAGGTGGTAGCTACCAGTGCGGGCTCACAATACGGCCTTTCACCAATAATTGCGCAAATTATGATTTCCGCGGATTTGACTTTTATTACTGACTTTCTACTGGTGGTAGGACCTCTTGTGTGTCCACATGAGTAGGTATCACCACCCTGCCTATTTCTGCCGTGAAGCAGTAATGCGTTTCGGTTTGAAGGGTAGGGCAGCCGTTGTGATTATACTTGAGACCTTAGAACTTATATCTCAAGTTGGGTGGCGCATTTACGTTGTAGATGTCTATGGGCTCAAGTATTTCCAGTTTTACCAGGACAGGTGACTTAACAAATGTTTCCCTCTGGATAGCCACGAATCACGCGATCATAATAATATCTACCACCGCCAGTACCGTGTCTGTGTCGTGGTTTTTGATAAATTTCTTGTTGTAATAATCAGCAATCTTTTTTATTCATGAGATATAGTTGTTGTTGTATTAGTCATTTTCAAAAATCCAATAAACACATTATTTTAGTAAAACGAATACGACATTTAGATTATTCACATTTAATTTATTCGATCCCTTTCATGATCTATTTTTGATGATATGAAGTATGAAGGATGATACTAATACGGTACAATCCCGATCATGCCGACCGAATGGTAAACAGTCGACGTCGCCCAAAACACGTCATTTCGGATCCACCCGATCCATTAACGGTGCTTTTAGGTACCCCAAGCACCGGTCATCGCTCTCGCCGAACCCGTCGCTTGCGGTGAAGGGCTCGACGAGTAAATGAACCCGCAGACACAACCCACTGAGTTTCTCGCCGGATCTTCTCAGTGGGTCGCGTTTCCGATCCGGTGGTAGATTCTGTGAAGCACTGCTAGGGTTAGTGTTAGCAACGTTGTCAGGTTTGAGCCCCGTGAACTCACCTACTAGTTAAGCTTACGCTGAAATGGTCTCTCAAGATCATCAGCTTAAGTAGGAAAAAAACCTACATAGCTTTTTCGAAGGGGTAAATATGTGAAGATTGCGTTTTTTACATTACATTATACATTAAAATGTTATTTACCGTTAGACTACAATAAAGTGTCTCTTACGTTATTTAGGGTTGACGCTATGTACACTAACAATATGCCTGTTTTAATTTATAATAAAACGTTCAATTTGAGTGTTAGTAAAAAGAGAAAATGTGGTGATGTAATAAAAAGCAGGCGAACAGTTTGGAGGAGCTGGTCCCACTGGCGCCGGCGGGTCCGGCCGCGACCCCGGTCTGCGTGAAGCAGGAGCGCGTGGACTCGCCGCCCGCGCTGCAGCTCGAAACCTTGGAGTCGGTCCCGCAGCGCACGGTAACACCACACGATAACCCACCCTCTTATCGTGGCCTCCGCTAACTACATATCCGACACAGGTGACGGGGCAACTCAAAGTGGCCGTCGACCAAAACATGTCTTGTCGGATCCCCCGGAATCCACTCTGGATCCTTTTAGGCTTCTCAAGCATCAGTCATAGTCCTCGTCGATTATGACGAAGATTTCGACGAGCGAACTAACCCATAGACACAGTTCATTGAGTTTCTCTTCGGATCTTCTCAGTGGGTCGCGATTCCGATACGGTAGTAGATTCAGCGCAGCATTACTCTTGCTACTAGGGTTAGTATTAGCAAATTGGCAGGTTGAATCCGTGAGGTCACTTACCCGTCTGCGAGAAGCTGGTAAAGTCCTTTAAGGTCCCAGCCAATAGGTAGCAAAAAAAGCACGGTAACTAAACGCGGAAATGATGGGATCTCGAAAATCGACAGAACTCAAACTAGTAACTAATAGGAATACAATGATATCATTTAACACAATGTTTAGTAAAGTATGTACATACCTATTTAAATCGATAATCTTTTACTAGAAAATAATTTAGTTGTTTTTTCCGTGGCTTGATATAAGTACTTCGGTTCCCCAGCGCAGTTACATTCAACAACTTACCATCGAACCGCCCGCCACCGGAGTAGAGTTTATCCATACTACCTGAAACCACTGCGTTTATTCACAGTGCGTTTCCAGAGATCTTTTTTGCCATGTACCATGCGGATTTGCTCCCCTCCACGGTGTTTCCTGAGCACTATGACATATCCTTCTTCAAACGAGGCTTGTGGAGAGTACTTAACGGTAGGCAGCGGCTTGGTACTGCCCCTGGCATTGCTGAAGTTCATGGGCGACGGTAACCACTCACTATCAGGTGGCCCGATTGCTCGTCTGCCTACAAGGAAAAAATTCTAATTTTATTTAAAAAAAATCTATTTTTATTTAGAAAAAAAAAAACAAGAACTATTTTTTTCTAAGTTACGCAGTGCCGATTTTAACTCGCATCCGGGCCCAATACCTTTTTAGCGCTAGTAATATTTTCCAGAAATCAATTATAATAAAAGTCAAAATTATCGAGCAGTTTTTTGTTTTATGGACCATTTGGTGCCCCTGTGTGATTAGCGACCTGGGGCATGATGCCCATTCTCCATTCCATCTTTGTAAACACAGAGCTGTACGCTGATAGAGCGGCATCTGTCCTCGCTCCACGGGGAAGCTCGCGAGCGACCCGAGGCCAGCGACTTCACGCCGTTGCTCGCCGTCAAGGACGAGCCTCTGTCGGAAGGCGGTAGGTACACGGAACTAAACCCTTAACCTATTTAGTTCGTCCATCGTAAGGCAGGTAGGCAGCGGCTTGGCTCTGCCCCTGGCATTGTTGAAGTCCATGGGCGACGGTAACCACTCATCATCAGGTGGGCCGTATGCTCGTCTGCCATAAAAAAAAACCACAAAACGCTCTCATGAATCACCCCGATTAATTAATAAAATACAGCCTTAAGTGTATCCACGAATTGATCAGCTTGATTTTTCACGTTGATCAGCTGATCAGCTGGGCAAGTCGACCACAGTATAAAGAATGTCTGTATTAGACAAAAATCATTTTTTACTGTCGTGATTGCTGCTTGTCCGGAGGTGTTTCCAGCTTCACCAGCTCGAGCAGCCAAGAGCCAGGCGATGGACGAACACTTAGGGGCACCTTCTGGCGCTCGGGAGGCGGCTATTAATGCGTTAGGTGTATTCCATTTTTTACTGGTGGTAGGACCTCTTGTGAGTCCGCGCGGGTAGCTACCACCACTCTGCCTATTTCTGCCGTGAAGCAGTAATGCGTTTCGGTTCGAAGGATGGGGCAGCCGTTGTAACTATACTTGAGACCTTAGAACTTATATCTCAAGGTGGGTGGCGCATTCACGTCGTAGATGTCTATGGGCTCCAGTAACCACTTAACACCAGGTGGGATGTGAGCTCGTTCACCCATCTAAGCAATAAAAAAAATTATACTCTGTAATACTTTTATTGTGGAAGTCGTTGAAATCGTCTTGGCCTAAAGGACAAGACGCCTGGTTATATTCATATCGAGTGATGCGACTGTGCCGGTGTTCGGATCCCGCAAGCAGGTTCCAATTTTTCTAATTTGTATTCTACAAACTATCGAACGTAAGGGGTGACCATTGAGAAAAATCAGCAATATTTTTTTACTACTGTTAACGTGCAAGCATTCCTTTGACGTTTGTGTAACTATACTGAGACCTTAGAACTTATATCTCAAGGTGGGTGGTGCATTTACGTTGTAGATGTCTATGGGCTCCGGTAACCACTTAACACCAGGTGGGCTGTGAGATCGTCCACACATCTAAGCAATAAAAAAAATTCCAAAGAGCAACATCAGCAGAGCGGCGAGGACACTAGCGACTCTCAGGCCGAGCCGGCGACCCGGGGCAGTCCAAAAAGCTGGACCCCGACTGACATGGACAATGCCTTGGAGGCGCTCAGGAGCCACCACATGAGTTTGACTAAGGTATTGTGATTACAGCTAGTATTCCTTCTTGCACAGGCCATTTATTCCACAAACTATAATTTTCCCTTCAAATGTAAGGTCAAATAAGATATGGTGTGATTTTCTGTTTTCAATATTTACAAACGTATCATAATTGTACCAAATATATTATGAGGCAAGAATCGGTGAACATGGACACGAAGGGTGCCTCGCAGCGCGCGAGGTGCTGTGGTCCGTGGTCTGATCGCGCGCCGCCACAGGACGCTGTATCACAACCACGGTCCGACAACATTGCTGAGTTCTCTTCATTTCATTTTAATGGCCGTTTATAAACAAAGTACCTATAACGATTGAATGTTTGTGATTGTGAGACTACTCCACGTAAATCTACCTAAATTGATAGTCGTGATCGTAAATATTGTGGGGAGGGCGTGTGTGACATGCGAAATATAAATTTAAAAAAAACCTGAGAACCTATTGTAACTATAACAATTTTTGTGTATGTTTTTCATTCACACTCAAACACAAAAATGTCATCACAATGGTGTAGTCGTTCAAGAGTTTAGTGATTTGTACATGCACAGATCAATGTACAGTGTGAGTTTAGAGTGGGGGGTGGCACTTGTTGTCCGGTCGCAGGCCTCGGCGCTGTTCGGCATCCCGTCCACCACGCTGTGGCAGCGCGCGCACCGCCTCGGCATCGACACGCCCAAGAAGGAGGGCTCCTCGAAGTCGTGGAGCGAGACGGACCTCAAGAACGCGCTGGAAGCTCTCAGGGCCGGCTCTATATCCGCCAACAAGGCCAGCAAGGCTTACGGTGAGTCGGCGGACGCCCCTCGGGACTGCTGCTGTTATCTATGTCATTATTGTCGTTCGGATTCGAACAAAACAAACCTATATATCGCTTATTTATTTGCCAAAAAAGTCTCGGAGACGGGAATCGATGAATTCTCTAAAAGTCTTAATTTGAATTTTATTTTTTGACGTGACAATGTCTTATAATTCGATGGAGCCGGCTGCGCGCACGAAATGACATGACTCATTGAGGCGTTCCATTTAAGGCTTGAAGTGCAAGCGAGAGCGCGCAACGAGCGACAAAGAGGCACAATCGGCCTCCGTGTTCGGCAGCGTTCGACATCTGTCTCTCTCCTACTTGAGTGAGCGATGCCTCCGCGTGGACAGCTGCTATACAATAATACATTTACATGTTTTCGTCAAGTATGAAGTTCAGTGAAAAGTGAATGTGGTGTCAATTGTCCATACAAAATATCTATCAAACAAATAAAATTAAAATTTTCTTTTGAAAAATGAAACCATTCCATCAATATTTTCTTATGACGTTGTCACGTTCAACTATCGTCAGTAAAACGACTTTACAGACAACCGATATTTTTTTTCTTATTTTTTTTTAATTCCGATAAAAACGGGAATCAGTCCGAGAATGTTGCGGGAGCTCGATGGGTGACGGAAGTGTTTCAAACGTAACTCCTCCAGTGCAGTTCCGCAGCGACCTGGAGCCTCCTTCAGCTCCAGATACATAAGCTTTTTTTTTCAAATATTAGATCAGATTAAATTGTCAGTACCAAATTTTACTGGCAGAAGGGCGTACCGAGGCAGCCGGAACACTGGCTCTGGCACATTACCGCACCTGAGAGATATTGGGTTCGATCTCAAGGCGGTTGACAGCGTTCATGTTATGGTGTCTATAGACTCCGATAACAATTATTGAAACACAACTGTGCAAGGACAAATATGATGTAGATAGTCACCGTCCTCGTCGAACCCGTCGCTTGCGACGAAGGGCTCGACGATCGAATTAACCCTCAGACACAGCCCACTGAGTTTCCCGCCGGATCTTCTCAGTGGGTCGCGTTTCCGATCCGGTGGTAGATTCAGTCTAGTGACAGCTAGGGTCAGTGTTAGCATCACTCCGGTTTGAACCCCGTGAGCTCAGCTACTAGTTAAGGTTACGCTGAAACAGCCTCTCAAGGCTATCAGCTTAGGTAGGAAAAAAAAGTAGATATAAGAACAAATAGTTCTGGGTGCAGGAATTCCGAGTAGCACTCTGTACAAGATAGCTCGTCGGGAGGGCATTCGGCTCGCGGCGCCCTTCAACGCGGCCCCCACGGCGTGGCGCCGCACCGACCTGCGCCACGCGCTCGGCGCGCTGCGAGCCCGCGCGCTCTCCGTGCAGCGCGCCGCCGCACTGTACGGCATACCCACCGGTACTGTACTCCTCGCACACCGCACTGTACACTCGCACTCCGTACTGTACACTTGCACTCCGTACTGTACACCTCGCACACTGTGTTATACACATGCTGCTTCGAGCTGAGCCTCTATGGCCGCTCAGGTTGCTGTAGGTACTCGAGTACATGAACACCTTCATAAGGTTGCAACTGTTGCTACTGCTCACTTATCGTAGTATTTTACCGATTCAATGATTTTCAATAAATATGAACTACATAATTTTGTACATTATCTAGGTACATTATACGGCCGGTGTAAGCGAGAAGGCATCGAGCTGTCTCGCTCTAACCCGACCCCGTGGTCCGAAGATGCAATGGCGGAAGCACTTGAGGCAGTTAGGTACGAAACTATGCTCATTATACTCGTTGTTATTAGCTGTGTAGCCGCGGTAATTGGGCGTGTAGCATCGAGCGAAATCATGCGCTTCTTGACACGAAGGATCTCAAGGGTCAAAGGGTCAGGCAATGTTTGGTCGAGCCTTTCAATGGTAAATAGAAACAGTATTTGGACGGGGATGTTTTACCAAGCTCGGCGAATGATAGACCATTCGAAGTTACCGCACCGTGCTATTTGAGACGACATGCGCGCTGATGCCGCGGTCTTTTCAAGAGTCACCTCCAACACCAAGGCAGCAGCCCATTTTTGCTGATTATTAGCGGCAAATTAATCTCAGTGTCCGGCTGATCCTTGGGTCGTCTCGTGAAAGGTGAACTGGGTGGCGGCTGAGCACACTCCCTGAACCGGTTCTGAGCAAACGGAGTACCTTGGACATACGATAAAGGCGTCGACTGCGTTGTCTTCAATTGTGGGAGAGAGCCGACGCTCGTTGTGCTCACGTCTCGCGGAGGACGGGATGGCGGGGGTGTCTCACTGCCAGCAGGATGCGGGTTTTTCAGCAATAGGGGGTTTTAGCCCGACTCCCCCGCCTGCCATCCCCCCGCGTATGCCTTCTGATAAAAAAACTTTCCGAAAGATCTTCCTTATGCCTGATTTTTTTGGCTCAGACCAGCAATCACATGAGCGAGCCGTGTTCTATAATTTTCCATATATATTCGAGACGCGAGCAACGCGTGACCTCATAGTTAATGTCTTAGTCACATTGAATAAAAGCTTTCTTATTCTTCAAGAACTTACATATCTTCGACCTTATATAGATTGTTTCCGCCTACGTTCCAGGGTTGGCCAGATGTCGATAAACCAGGCGGCCATACATTACAACTTGCCGTACTCGTCTCTGTATGGACGGTTCAAAAGATGCAAATACCAGGTAAGATCCTTGTAGTGACCCGCAGTCGCAGGCAGGGCCCTGAAACTGCAATACTTTAAGACAAATATTTTTTTGTATGGGAAACTAGCAACATCTTGTAGCGGATGTCCCTAAACATATATGTTGTTAAAGTTAAGTCATTTAATTAAAATATACGATAGGTAATATATTACTACCATCTACAGGAGCAATGAGAAAATATTCGAATGGAAGCCAGCTAGTGGATGTCCCGGGAAATACGGGACGTCTGGCAACTCTAAATGTCACATAAAATATCATCAATTTATCATTAAAATTTAAAAGCACTAATTAGTATATTTTATTGCCAGAGCGTGCAACAGTACCAGCAGCCGCCGATTGTCCCGGACGGCCCCCCGCACGACCCGGAGCCCCCCCGGCCGGCCCCCCACCCCCCCGCCTACCCGCACTACCCGCACGCGCACGAGCAGGACTACGCGCAGACGCTGTGCTACCACCATCACTACAATACTGTCATTAGTTGAACAAGAGATTCCACACTGAATGAATTATTCCAAAAATATTCATTCATTGCGAAAAACGATGAAAAATCTGTGGTTTCTCACGGTGCTGACACTGACAAAAACTGTAGTGCTTTCGTTTTTATTGAAGAAAAATCGTTTCTAAGCAACTCAAAATATATCAATTCAAATTCCGTCATCTATGAATATGAAGTACATTATAGTGATACTGAAAACAGATTGGCGTTCCTCAGTGAGTCAGATACACATATTGCCAAAGAAATGTTGATAGAAAACCTTATTAGGACTTTGAATTTAATTGTATTGACGAATAAAAGCCTGGAACAGCGACATCTAGCGGAGTCGAGTGTAAGTGACTGTTCCGTTCCGCTCATTGGTGGATTTAAAAGTAGAATGTCGAAATTCGAATCTAGAACGCGACGTAGTTGTAATTGGAATCGAACGCGTGCGCTCTTAGGGCGCCCTTAGAGAAGAAGTAGAATTTAAGTAATGACAAAAATATACGTAAAGTGGATGTGTCCCGGTAGTTGTAGTAAAACTTGTCTGTTCATATTTTTATATACATTTTTTTCGTGAACGTAGACGTATTAATTTAGTAATTAATAAGGTAGAAAGAGATACGATTGAGTTTGCCGACGTAAATTTCTTCTGAGCTGTGGTAAAAACTGGTATCTATTTCACAGTCTCTTAATGAAAGCTTGGACTGAAAATATCTGTTTAACAACTAAAACTCAGACGACCCGGCTCTGCCCGTTGGCTGCTGGTCTGGGAACGGCGATAAAAAGGGCGATATTCATAAATAAATAAAAATGATACATTTTTGTTTTTGTAACCAAGATGGAGGGCTTGGAAGGCAGTTAATGTGTGATGATGAATATTATTCGGTCATGTAATTATAAGCTGCGAACTTGGCCCTTGTGTAGGCTGGTGAGGCGCAGGGCGGGGCGCCTCCGACCCCTTATTAAGTTGCAGTCGCACTTGGTGGCGACTAACTGTAACGGTATAGTATTTACTGAAATACTGAACTATTCATGCCTTCTCAAATGGGTGGTCATCCCTAACGCGGCTCCAGCCCCTCCCAAGGCGGGCCAGCCGGCGCCCCCGCAGCCAGCCGGGGTGTTCTATTTAGCGAGCCCCGCCCGCCGCTAGGGTTCCGTGTAGAACGACTAAACAGACTGCTGTGCTCTGCGGCCGGGACACGTCTCCCGCTCGGCAGCCGAGGGATCTGTAGGCTGCGCAGTGCAGTGTTGGTCGACTCGCGTCTGGTGAGGGAGCATGCCCTTGTTACGCGCTGTAGATGGTTCGATTGGCCAAGATATTACCAAATAGAAGTTAAAGGTAAGTTCTCCGTAGACGCCCGTCAGTTGCTATCAGCGGGCGCCGTGGCCGGGCAGGCGTGCCCTATCCCGCTTCCATCCAGGCTGGCGGGCTCCAGTGGGAGAGCTCCTCGGTCTCTGGGCGCGATACGCGGGTTCATAATACATTTTAAGGCCCCATTTTTACCGTGCATCAGGTTCTTAAATGAACTCTCCTCCACGACATACCCCAAGCTCTGAGACACAGCCTCCTAACAACGTTTGATAGACATTTGTGTCGACAAGCGACAGCATCTACTTACGATCGTCCGGTCAGTCGGCCCGTCAATTTTCGGAGGAGGAAGTCCAGCCGTGCGTCAGGGGCGGGTGGTCGGCGTCTTAGTCTCTGATAAACTGAAATTTGAGCACGTCCCACGCCGCATGTAATACGTAAACTATGTGATACTAACAATGTATAAGGAAGTGTCTTCGTCCGTTTTATTATTGGTACTTAATGTAAGTAAACTGAATAAATAGTTTTAGTACTTGATGCTGCTAGTCTCTTACTGTGTAGTGCCAATAAATATCTTTTAATTAACTTCAACTACTGGTTTTATTTGAACTCAGCGACGTGTTGTACGCACCAACAGCAATATATGCATAGACGCTTGATTAATGCCACGATATATTATTTGTTAATTGAAGTTTCGTATCTTAATTTATAGATGGCTCTGTCGTGTATTATGTTTTAATTTTCGCAAATGAAGTATTTGGGAATGGAAATGGGAGTGTTTGCTTTTTTAAATGGGGGAAATAAAAAAAATGATGAAAACATGTGTGCCGTTTGGTAGAAGTATAGCTACAACCCAAAAGTATTCTATCTCATTCTCCCGTAGCTCATCTATTATGTGTTTGTCGCATTCTCATTTGATACATTCAGATTATACCGAACCTAAACAAATAAAGTTACAAAAATTACCTAGCATAGAAACTATTACTTACTAAACTTATTAAGAAGTTTGTAATAAATCCTAAGTTTCATGAATAATAATTAAGCAGAGCACACTTTCTTTAATCCCTCTCGGTTATTGGAATAAGCTCGGTTTAAGCATATGAATAGCTTCTTAATTTATGGTCAGCTTTAATTAAACAACGATAAATAATAAAAAAAAGATTATTTAATATATTATTAAAGTATATGAATTTTAAGGTCTCAGTACAGCTACAACGGTTGCCCCACTCTTCAAACCGAAACGCATTACTGCTTCACGGCAGAAATAAGCAGGGTTGTGATACCCACCCATGCGGACTCAGAAGAGGCCCTACCACCAGTAATTATGCAAATTGTAATTTTACGGGTTTGAGTTTTATTACACGATGTTATTCCTTCACCGTTATTAACCGTTCACTAAGTTCTACTAAATGAAATACTTTGTTTCATTGAAAAAAGATTAATTTTTTTTTACGTCTATCCACCAAATAATGTAAAAAAATAAAATTAATCTGTCGTAAACAGCCTTGTCCTGCAGTTTCCTATTCTAAGGGGAGCACGGATTTTCAATGAATAGCCAAAACATGGTTGTATTGTTCAATTTGACAATATGCCGGTGGCAAATGACGAGACACTTATTTTATTAAAAGGTTGACCAATGGTTAATGTGTATAATTTATGATATCCTTTATATGTTATGAAATCTCTATGGGAGAAAGAAAAAACGATCATCTGTACATAAAAAATCGCTTTATTCGTTATCTACACTTAGATAATATAAAATAAATTACGTACATTGTTTCATGCGATTCTGCGGCTTCTTTACATATTTAGAACCTTTCTCTAATATTCTTAAATGTCGAAAGTACAAATAGATTACATACGAGGTCAATTGCACGAATTACGTTCTACTTTCCTAATATTATTTTTTTCAATTTTTTGAGCATTCATTGTTAAATTTCTGTATAAAAGCATTCATTCGGCTCGAGGGTTACAATTTAGTCTTGTTTACGTCACTCGGGAGGACGCGTCACTCCGCGGAGCACCGCTAGATGGCAGTGACTACTGGCGCCATCTCTGGATCGCCTCCGGAAACTTCACCGGACTATTTACAACGAAGGGAAAATCACAAGCAGCTCATTCTACTACAAATACATGATTTATAAAAAGAAACGAGTTCGCGACTGTTCCGGGAGCGCGGCCGCGGACGAGGGTTCAGCCGGACGACCGAAACAGTCGCGAACTTCGACACTAAGGACGAAGTATTTACAAGAGATCACTAGGGACTACAGTATACAATGAGTTACATATCTTGTTAATGTTTATTTATACAGTTTATGATCCGCACGGCGCACGAGCGTACGTGCTATTTTTTTTTTGGCAAGTAAACAATTGTTCGACAGTTCGAATCGAACTACGTCCGGGACGAATCGGACGCGGCGGACGTCGCGCGGCCCCGCCGGCCTCGGTGAGGGACACGTTCATCAAATAGAGAGAGAATGGCTGCGTGACGTCACGCTACACCGGACCGTAGTCGGACAGTGGCGGGGCGAGGGGGGCGGCGAGGGGGGCGGCGAGGAGGGCAGCGAGCGGGGCGGCGGGAGGGGCCGCGGCCGCACGTCACACGGCGCCCTTGACGAGCGCGCGCTGCGAGGGCGGGGGCACGCGCCGCCCGCCCGCCCACACGCGGCGCCACGAGTCCAGCGTCTTGCCCGACCAGATCCACACGCCCGACGTGATGCCCACCGCCAGCGCCATGAAGTACTTGAGCATGAGCGCNGCCCACCGCCAGCGCCATGAAGTACTTGAGCATGAGCGCGGCGTACAGCGGCGCCGGCCCGCAGCGGGAGCCGCACGCGGCGCGCCGCAGCCAGCCCGCGTGCCCCGCCGCCTCGTACGCCAGGCACGCCAGCACCGCGCCCGCCGGCACCGCGTACAGCACGCTGAACACGCCGATGCGGATCATCAGCTTCTCCAGCTTGTCCGCTTTGGAGCCCGCGCCCACGCCGCCCTGCCGCTTGATCACCGACCGGATGCGGAACAGCGACACGAACCCGGCGAGCAGGAACGTCGCGCCCAGACCGAAGTACACGACCAGCGGCGCCAGCACGAATTTCTTGAGATTTTCCGGAGAAGAGTTGCCGACCGAACAGATCCCAGCCACCGGGTCGCCGTCAACGGCGCCGGCCAGCAGCACGGCGACCGTCTTCGCAGCCGGTACGAGCCACGCGGCCAGGTGGTAGTACTGTGCGTAACCGGCGATGGCCTCATTGCCCCACTTGAGTCCAGCGGCGAGGAACCACGCGAAGGACAGCACCACCCACCAGATCGACGACGCCATTCCAAAGAAATAGACTAAGATGAAGACGAGCGTGCACGCGCTGGGTCCGCTGGCGGACACCTTGAGCGCCGGCCCGTCGCACGCGATCTCGTCGTGCCCCAGCGCCAGGCGCGCCAGGTAGCCCAGCGACACCATGAAGTAGCAGGCCGACAAGTACACGATGGGGCGCTCCGGGTACTTAAACCGCTGCGAGTCGATCAGGAAGGTGGTGAGCGTCATGAGCGTGGAGGCGGCGCAGAGGCCGCTCCACAGCGCCACCCAGACGGCCGCGAAGTGTTTTTCGTCGGCGGTGAAGAAGGCGCCGCGGCAGGGCTGCAGACAGGCGGGGGGGCGCAGGCCGGGCGCGGCGCTGGTGTTGGGCGCGGCGAGCAGCGGCGGGCGGCACGCGCACTCGCACTCGGCCGCGTCGCCGGCGCCCGCAGCCGCCGCGCCGCCGCAGTTTTTTGGATCCTTGCAGTTGTTCTTGGCGGGCTTGCGGGGCGGCGGGCGGGGCGGCTCGGGCTCGTGCGCGCGCTCCGTCTCCTCCATGCACAGCTGGTCGGGGTCGCCGGCGCGCGGCAGCTGCTCGCACGCCATGCGCTCGGGCCACGGGAACCCGTACTGCTGCATGAGCGGCGCGCAGCCGGCCCGCGCGCGCTCGCACACGCTGCGACACGCCGGCAGCGGCTTCGCGTAGTCCTCGATGCAGATCGGCGTGTACACGGAGCACAGGAAGAACTTTAGGTCCGACGAGCACTTGATCTCGACGAGGGGCCAATATTGGTGAACCTGGAATTCAAATTAATAATTTATTTAGCGCTTTGTTACCTGAAACTCTTTGAGACATTTACACCTTTATGGCATTATTATGTCGTAAAGGTGTAAAGGTACTTTATATTTTAAAGATACGTATAAAACAAGTGATACGGTGTGTGGTATAGTCCGACTTTATCAGCTTTTTTTCTATGTTTGTTTGTTAGATCTTCACTCAGAAATTTACGAATAATTTCACAAAAGCTTTTGTTTATGAAATTACATTACAACTAGCCTTAACACCTTGCACACATAAGTATTATTTATTGTTTACATCACTGGCACACGTCTATTGATCTACATGTAAAAAGTTAAGCGCGGATTTGGCTCACCTCTAGTCCGGCTTCTTCCTGCGTGTCGTGGTCCAGCGCGTTGGGGAAGGAAGTGAGGTTGTAGCCGATGCCGCGGCACATGGGGATGGTGATGTCCTGACAGCGCGGCTGCTGCAGGGCTCCGGCGGCGGCCAGCAGCGCGCACGCCGCCACGCCCGCTGCCCACATCCTGGACTGCGCTACGTTTACCGCATCTGAAAATAAACAATCACATTTTACTACTACCTTTTACAAGAAACATACTGAAATACTATTGTCCTATTAGACTTAGCCTGGTTGTTATTTTACAAGATATCGAAACTTCTAGTTGTTCAATTTATTTAACCTTAAAGTTTAGAGAACATGACATCAAAATTTATCAGATTTGGGAATTATTATAATATTTATTTCGCATTTTCTCGACTTTCGACAATTTTATCTTTTAATAAAACCAGCGAGCCGTGTGTCTCGTACGCGTTTCCGAGTGCAAGAATTATGTTGACCGTCGTTCCCGGTAAATTACATCATTATTATCGGCTTCCTAATTACGAATACGGACTATGTTTGTCGGACGTAAACAGCTAAACCGTTGTATTTAATCATGCTTCTGCATAATTAATTACCGAGAAATTCGTTTAGAATACATACACCAAAAGGTGTCTGTATTCTAAATGTTCAGTGAGAAGGTTTTGAGGCGAATTATTTGAAGACCGCTTCAAAAGTTCACCGTCCCGATCGATAACTACGAACGTTAAAAATTGTAAATTCGTCATTGTTGGGTGTTATTTATAAGTACAGTACAAATTGTTACGTTTTTATAGTTTCTTACGCTTTCTGCCTTTGCCTTGTATAAAAAACTATTATATTTTAACTACTTTTTTTCTAGCCAAAATATTTACGTTCTATGTCTGGCGTACTACTGTATTTCAAATTACGAAATTTAAAAAAAAAAACACGAGAAAGCAGTACAACTGCCTCAAGCCCACGTATCACGATATGCCACGGTAATACACTTAATGTTACTAGGTTGTAGACTAATATTAATCTGGCGATTCTAAACGAGAGTACTGGGATCGTTTCTCTCATTAGTTTATCAGAGGCGTCCTGTCTCGGCGGCGTCGAGCACAAGTTAATGCGCTTTTAACGAGCTCAGACATCGACACGTGGTGTTTGATCACGTATAAACATGGCAGGGCCGCAACTTGTGGGGGGTTCGGCGCTGTCAGGACGCACGCACCTCCCTCCCATCTCTTCGTGCGCTCAAGTCGGGTGGTCGGTTGTCATTGCGGGTCCTTTTCTATCAGTACACATCGGCGAATACACACACTCCAGTTGGCCTAAAGTTATAGACAACGAGACCCAGAAAAGAGAGATTGATGCCACAGTTGCATAGAAACAGTGGCTATTTTAAACATGAGTTGCAGTGCAATAGAAAAACTATTTTTATTCACATCATAATTGATTAGGATGGGTAGTGAAATGAAACATGCAATGTTAATCATAATTTCTTTTGACAAAAAGAAGTGATCCTGCGAATAATTGAAAACTTGAATTGATACGAAAGGATTCCTGGTTTTTATAAACATAGAAAATTCAATTCAAGTATTTCATGAAAATTCCTAAAACAATAAAGTAAGTAGTAGTTACACATGCATATTGCATTGAACTCATGTTCAGACAGTTTTTTTTATGATTGAAGGGTTACTGGTGGCTCTGCGGCCTTTCCAGTTTCACCAGGACAGGTGGGCGAGCAAAGGCTCATCCAGGAGGGGTATAGACCGTGTCTCAAGGTGGTTAGTAGCATTTACCTTGTTATGTCTATGGGCTCCGGCAACCACTTAACATCGTGGGATCGTGAGCTGGTTTACTCATCCAGGAAATAATAAAAAAACATTAGATTTCCGCATATACAGTGCGTTACTGTTCCACATAGAGCACGCCGGTATTTGGTAGCGGTTAAAATTAAATTAGGCGCAAGCTCAGACCGTCTGCGGTTACAGTTTGTCGGTCTCAACTGACGTTTAATTAGCCCCACACCTCTCTAACGTAGGGGAATTGCATGATATAATAGAAGAAAGAAAGAAAGAAAGAGAAGGAAAACCGTGTTCAATCTACTGTATACTCGTAAAGTGCAAATTTGAACCTTAAATATTTCATGTAGTTATAGCAATTTTTGGGAGGAGTGGCGATTGCTCGTGAGGCGCATTTTTTTTATTGCTTAGAAGGGTGGACGAGCTCACTGCCCACCTGGTGTTAAGTGGTTACTGGAGCCCATAGACATCTACAACTTAAATGCGCTCCCACCTTGAGATATAAGTTCTAAGGTTTCTAAGGTTGTTCACGACCGACTTCCACGGTGAAGGAAAAACATCGTGTAATAAAAATCAAACCCGCAAAATTATAATTTGCGTAATTACTGGTGGTAGGACCTCATGTGAGTCCGCACGGGTAGGTACCACCACCCTGCCTATTTCTGCCGTGAAGTGGTAATGCGTTTCGGCTTGAAGGGTGGGGCAGCCGTTGTAACTATACTGAGACCTTAGAACTTATATCTCAAGATGGGTGGCGGCATTTACGTTGTAAATGTCTATGGGCTCTAGTAACCACTTAACACCAGGTGGGCTGTGAGCTCGTCCACCCATCTAAGCAATAAAAAAAAGACCCACCTACGCTACGTCTTCCGTGTACTTAAATATATATTCAAGAACAAAACCATTCTTCAAATACTTCAAAAATAAATCGAATCCATCTTGTTCCTTTAAAATACAATTTCGCTTACAAATCGCAGAATCATAATATAAATAATACGTGCCGTTAAAACGAAACAGAGCTTAATAAAGCAATTTATAGAATTAAAACGCATGGCGTTGCTTGGGCACGAACCGGCGGTGCATTCGGCGAACGTGCAAGTAAACAGGATAACGTAAATATTGTTACACAAAAGACGTGGTTCCGCTGTTAGCGAACTTAATGTTTTTTTTTTTGTTTCTCTACGAAAATTGAATATAATATCGATTTTTTTTTTCTCCTACCGACGCCGAAAGTTCGGTTTTCGTCTCGCTGTATAGAGAAGAAAGTGTAACTTGTTCTCCCTGGGTACTGACAAGTGCGCATGCGCGTAAGTGTCTACATTTGCTCTCAACATTGTTGTGCTCGGGTAATTTGCAATATTGTGTTTAGTGTAAAAGTGAAATAAACAAAAGGCAATAAAATTGAATAGTGAAGTATTAAACAAAGATGAGTTCATTAGACAGTTCTTATTCAATTAGTAGTAGTTTATTTAAAAATTAAAAAACAGTTAAATTGTTTTTTTTATTATATGAGTGGGGGGGCTCCGCCGCTCCGCAAACTCCCGCCAGGGCTTCGCCTCTGGACCCCGGCTCGGTACTTCACGGGTGCTAAGTTTTTCGTACTTTCGGCCTGGTAGGAGAAAAAATAGCATGTGCACCGCGGGGAAAAAAGTAGGACATCTCATCCCGCGTGTTTGCGGGACGGAATTTTACACGCGGGAGGAAATGTCCAACTTTTCTCACTTGGTGCACAATGTACTAAACTGTTTATAACTTACTGACTTACCATCGTATTTACGAATAACGGCTGCGTATACCGATTATTTTCATCATTATTCAAATCCTAATCAACAAACACAACGGTATCATAAGTTACTGTGACTCATGGTTAAGGGTCAAAAACAAACAATGTATATGATCTAATCAATAAATGGCCTATTAAATGTGTATTGAACGTGTTATCGTTAATGACGAGTTGGTGTCGTGTATCATTGCTACGGGCGCATTATAAACAAACGCGTTTTAATGGTAAAAGCCAGAATTCCTGGTCCGCCCGCCGTGAGCTGTTAGCTTCAAATGGTACGGTGCTTATGTTAGCGGGTATACATAATGCTTGTATTTTATGGTGAGAATTGTCAATTGTAATTGGTAAATTCATTCAGTTTCTATAATTTATGAGTGGTAAATTATCGATTTTAATATAAATGATAATAGATTTACTCTTCTCAACAAACACCACCATTAATGTAAATTACGAACTCTCCATATAAGGATGTATTATTTTAGACATAGTATCTGAGTTTTTATCGTTTAGTTAGTTTATTAGTTAGTTAGTTCTGATCATCGTACAATGGATCCGCGATCTGTTTGGTAATCGTGATTTGAGCGTATTTCATTACATACACATTTATGGACAGTTCGGGACTATTTTTACTAAACGTACTATTAAAATTTCAATACAAATGTTTTTGTTCATTTTACTTGCATAAAACGTAATCGCCATTAATAAGGCCCCGCCTCGAGCGTTCATTACAGTCCCACGTCTATTCCAGTTCACTGAAAATAGTAATAGTTGGGCGTACGGTTCGCAGCGACACCTTTACTGCTCGTACGTGATCGTAACGCGCGTTAGGAATCGGATATAATGAACTCATTATACTCGCACTAGTTGCTCAGCGTCGTGTTTACATCCGGCTTTAATAATGAATAAAGTATTTAGATATTTGTAGTGCAAAAAGTACTGAGTAATTATGGAAGTCATCGTAAGAAGTTTGTGTTTGTATCAATCGAATGACTTCGAAAAATCATAAGTTTAGAAATGAAAATAATTAGAAGCAACATCCTGCCTACTTCTGCTGCGGAGTGCTCGTTTGTTCTGATTTCAAGATTGGAGCAGCCGCTAGATATGGAAAATGTTTAGGTCAATGTGACACTCACTTTGAACTTCAAACATGAGAGAATCTAGCGACTAACGTCAGAAATCGTAACGCCGAGTTATCAAACAATAATGTCAATATTTATCTGTGCGAAGAAAAATCTATATACTCCTTATCAGGCTCATTATACACGGCCAAGTGAGAGATTTCGTACAGTTTATATAGAAAAGCAGTTCAACAACCAAACAAAGTTTATGTACAACGTTAATTTATGTATTATATATAAGAATGAAGAATTATGATCTTGCTTCGATCAATCGGCCAATACAAACGTTAGCAGTTTCTTATAATAAAAATAAAAATGCACTTTAAATTATGAACGTATGGTTTCGCATTTTAATAGGATTTTATAGTAATTTTTTTGTGTTATTATTTTATTGTACACGGTTTAATGTTTACGGGAGCCCGGTGGTCCTGTCCCAGTGCAGGTTCGTTAATAACAACTTTATTACCACATTATAATTGCCACACGCCATGAAATCCTGCTTT